TTTGTTTGTCCGTTAAAGTGGCTGGATTTAATTTAGTGTAATTGTTTGAATTTTATAGAGTAATATATTACATCAGGATGTGTATGGCATTATAAAACAAGAAAGGGGGAAAAAAACAGAAGGTTGACATTCTGCCAACTAAGTATCTTGCACAATAAATAATTTAGAACAAAATTAATTTATTTTTGATTAAGTTTCATTTTACAGTTAATTAACCTTTTTTCTTAATCCCACCTAGACTACTAATATGACTTCCAATTTAAAGTCATTGCACCTTGGCTCCTAACATCTGTATAAGTGTCCCATCACATCAGCATTTCTAATTCTCACTGCCCCACACTTCTCGTACTCTCTCAACCCTCATAAATATAATAAAACATAGGTGGAAATTATGATAGTCAGAAATATAGCAATGAATATCTCATAGAAGAATTTGGGCTCATGAACTAATCTTTTATGAATGTGGCTACTGAAATACCAAGTGTAATTTTACATAGTCACCTTTCCATGTAAGCTTTTATCAGTCCACAGAAGCAAACTATTTATTTCAAAGAGACAAACACTTCAGCAAAGGAATGAGAAATATCTTACAATAAGATTTTTTTATCTTCCTCTTACCTCGCACACCACAGTCACAAAAGGTCCCCCCACAAAATACAATAAAGTTGCCATTGAGTTGATACCAACTCATGGAGACCCCATGTGTGTCAGAGTAGACACCTGTTCCACAGGTTTTCAATGGCTGATTTTTCTGAAGTGGATAGCCAGGACTTTCTTCTGTGGTGCCTCTGAGTGGATTCAAACTCCCAACCTTCGCATTAGCAGTTAAGCACATTAACTGTTTGTATCACCCAGGAACTCCCTTTAACCCTCAACCCCCTCCAATTTCAAGTCAAAAGAGAAAAGGCCAGTGTCCAAAGTTTTGCTAATGATTCCATGGGTCAGGAAACAAAGAATGAAAATGTCATTACAAACATGCTGAATATCCTCCAGAATCATCAAGATTCCTCAATGGAACAAATAAAAACCTTCCTAAACTACTCATACAAATTTCAACTACTTCTTGAAAGAGTATTTGTACTGATTCTTTTCTATTTATCCTCCAACTTTCATATGGTAAGCCAAAAGAATTTGAACTTGCTGATTTGGTATAAATGCCCCAATTAAAGTTATGTTGTATTCTACATTATTGTTTCCATTCATCAAACATATGGGACCTGTACCCACAAGTAATTATGGAAAATACAATTAGGTAAGATTGGAGCAGAAATTATTTTTATACATCACAATTGCCTTGGGACCTCTGGTGGCATAGTGCCTAAGGCATTTGACTGCTAACTAGAAGGTTGGCTCTTCAAACCCACCAGCCACTCCTTGAAAGGAAGGTTGGGCAATCTACTTCCGTAGTGATACCGCCTTGGAAACCCAAGGAGGGGTCGCTATGACAATTGCCTTGGAAGTGACTATATTTATGGGGAGGGGTTTCTATAAGACAAGTAAACCCTTCCCCATTGTGGACTACATGCACATGCTCAGAGCTATTCTTCTGACAGAGCCCAATTCTCTGAACACTGGTTATGATACTCTGAGCAGATTGTGGGGCAGCCAGCTCTTAGTAACCAGTGAGTGGAAGGTTTCTGCCATGATTTTTAACATCTAGACTTGTCAAAATCATTTCAAACAATATTTGCAGTAGTCATGAATTTCTAGCACTTCTGCAGAACCTGAAAACCCACAAAGGCCTCCTCTAAGCTTGAAGGAATTCTCTCAGTGTTGGGGAATCTGTAGCTTAAGAGAATAAGGTTCCTGTTGCTCCACCAGGATAAGACTGAAGGACACACAGAGGGATCTCTAGGGCTCTACTGCTGGTGGCATTGTGAGCACATAGACCTGTCTTTCCATCACGAGGCTGGCTTGGATTCACACTTGGATTAGGCCATTGTGGTAGTTATCTTTGTGTGTCAACTTGGCTGGGCCTGGTTGAGTGTCTGGGCAGCTGGTGGTAGTTAATTCCCATGAGGAGACTGGCAATCAGCTCCATGGTGGGGTCTACCACAGCAGCTGAGTAGCTGCCTTCGGGATGTGGTCTGTTTCCTGTATTTAAGGAGAAGCCTTGGGAATGGTCTCTATTCTGTGGCACACTTGGACCCTGCATGTAGCTGTGCCTTGCTCTGCTGACCTTGGGACTTAAAATGGACTTGAATTAATGGCCTGTCGTGTGGTTTGGTAACGTCAGGACTGTGCCTTTTTACTTGTCAACTTTGGGTTTGCCAGCCTCAGTAGCCAGCAGCTGTCTGAGTGAAGAAACGCCTCTAGCTCCAGTGGTCCAGGAGCAGGAGGCAGAGCTGGACCCCACGTTTGAGGGGCTTTCACCCAGCCCCTGGAGCCTGGCACTTTGAACTTGGACTTAAAGCCTCCAAATTTTAAGAATAAACTCCTGTTTGTTAAGGCCATCCCATTTGTGGTATTTTCTGTTAGAGTGGCACTAGGTAACCAGAACAGGCATGGATCTGCACTTGGAAGTCATCATTTCAATTACATTTGGCAAAGATCTTACTTATAATTTCTCAGAAAATACTTCTGGCTCAGTTCTAGTATTACCAACATTCCAGAAAATTTTATAGCTATCACTCTAATGGATAGTATTCTAAATTAAAGCAGTAGTGATAGATACAATTTTCCAACTTACTGAAATAGCAATAGCCAAATGTATTTCCTAGAACCAGATTTTCCTACCAACTCTCTCCTATTCTATCAAAAAAAAAAAGAAGAAGAGAAAATGTCTGGTTTTATATATCATCAGCAGTAACATATTTTAAACACGCTTTCCCTTTGTCACTACATAAAAACTGAAATTGCTAGCATCTCAGTTTTTCTTTACAAAATACATTTACCAGTAACATTTAACATTCTTACTGATAATAAGAATGTTAAGATGCTAGAGAAACACACATTAAGCAACCTTCTCGGAAGCAGCCCTTTCTATTCAATTTTAGTAAGGGTATTACAAAACTAAGGTGCTCTAGTGGTGCAGTAGTTAAAGTATATGGCTGCTAACCAAGAGGTTAGCAGTTTGAATCTACCAGTCACTCCACAGGGGAATGATGAGGCAGTCTGCTTCTGTAAGATTTATAACCTTGGAAACCCTATAGGACAGTTCTACTCTGCCATATAGGGTCACTATGAGTCAGAATCAATTCGATGGCATGGGTTTTATCACAAAAAATATAAACTGCTTATTTCTTTCAGTCTGAAGTTATTTATTCAATTCATAGAATCATAGAAACACAAAATTTTAATGTTAGAAGGAACTAAAGAAATTATCTTGTCCAACCTCCTGATTTTATACATTAGAAACCAGAGGTCATTCTTTTTAGGTGTACTCACCCAAAATTATAAGTAAGCTCAATATTTTTATATGTTTAGGCCTCTAAGACATCTGTTAATAAAAATGAAACTCCATTTCAAAAGTACCAAAAATTTATCTTCTTTGTTTGTATAATAAAACTTTATTGTTTCCTGTAGATAATGTTGGCATAGTCAAACTTCTGTCTTTAAGATTTTCTAGATGGGTGGACAGACTGAACTATTAGGAACATCTATGAAGCAGGGAGTGTACCCAAGACTATGTTGTGTAGGGTTGGCAGACAATGGTCCTATAAGTGTATTTGTATGATCTGTAAGAATTCTCAAGTGTATAGTAGAGCTGACAAGGGATAAGGTTGTAGTCACTTCTTGGTCACAGCCAGCTATCCAGAGGGACCGAGTAGTTGAACTGGTGGGCTCAGGACCATAGTCGCAGGGGACATCAAGCTCAATTGGCATAACATACTACACAAAACATTGTTCCACCTCCTACTTTGGCAAGTAGCGACTGGGATCTTAAAAGCTTGCAAGCAGCAATCTAGATGCAATGATGGGTCTCTCCTTTTCCAGAAGAAAGAATGAAGAAAACCAAAGATTCATGAAAAGAATTAGTCCTAGTAACTGGTACACCATGTGATCCACAGCTTATACGACTATGAGACCAGAAGAACTAGATGGTACCCAGCTACCACTGTCAACCACTTGGAGAGGGATCTATGCAAGAAATCCTGGATAGAGAGGGAGAACAATGAGGAACAAAACTCAAAATCATTTGGGGGAAAAAAGGGGGGGGGCAGGTTTGTTGGTCTGATAGAGCCTGGAGGAACCACTGAGACTATGGCCCCTAGCTGCCCTTCGGGTCTGGAATTGAACCCACAACTGTGGCTTCCAGCCAAACAAAAGATAGGCATATAAGTTGAACATTTACCTGAGGTAGATAAACTCCTTGGACAGATCAATCATGGGAGAAAAAAGGGCTGTATATGCACAGGAAGACAGCTCAGGGGTCAGGAGTGCATGGAGGAATGGACATAGGGAAGAAGTAACTATCAGTGAGTTGATTAAATTCATAGTGACCTCTCCTTGGGTTTCCGAGGCGGTATCTCTACAGAAGTAGATTGACCAATCTTCCTTCCGAGAAGTGGCTGGTGGGTTTGAACTGCCAGCCTTCTGTTTAGCAGTCAAATGTCTTAGGCACTACGTTACCACAAATCCTCAAATAAGCACAAGGAGATGTGAAACATTAAAATCTGCCCTGAGCTAGTTTACAGGGTTTTTCAGTTGAGCTTGTATCAGTACTTGGCTTCCCAATGGTTTTACCTTAAGTTCTCACTGAAATAGGTACCACCCTCTTACATCTTTCTATTCTTAATGCTCTAAAAGTGTATTGGGAATAGTCCAATAGCAGCATGACTATAAGAAAACCTGCCATTAACTAAAAGACATTTCTAACCTGCATACACACCCCTCCTTCTCCTCCTGCTTTAATTTAAGCTTATTTCACCACAGAAACATATAGTCTTTTAGACTTATATGCTTGGGGTCCAAACAAACATGAAGATTTGTAACAACCCAAGGTGTCTTCCTTCAATTTTCTTAATGTGAATGAAATGATAGAAATGTAAACATCTTACCTTCCAAATGATCCACATAACAATATACATCATAAGTTTCAAGAGGAGAACGGAATCCATAGGTTCTAACTCCTTCCTTCCCCATCATATCACCATAACAGCCTTCTCGGGGTGTCCGAATGGGATATCTGGGGAAACACATGGATACTCAGTGGCAATTTTCTCTCGTGTTTTATTAATATATTAAAGCCTGTGATCCCCAGACCTCTCACCTAACGGTCTGGTCAGACAGCCAGCCTGCGTCACACTGCTCAAATCCATCTTCATAGGCGGCATGGAGCTGCTCTGGGGTTGCTATGACTGCACCAATGTCCAAACACGTCTTCTTTGCAGTCTCAAAATTCAAAGTATACCTGCTAGTTGCAGCCCTGTAGTGAAACACAACCCCTGAAAGACAGAGAAAGCAATTAGGAACATGTTCCTATTTCTCACTATATTGTGCAAAATTTATCATTGGAGCAACGTATCAAATTAATTGGGGGAAAAAAAGTGGTAATAACATCATGATAATTTTTTATATTTACCTGATGTAATGCCTTTTTATTCAAAAAAGCCAGAGTTATGTAAAATCACCCCCAGGTGATTTGAAGAACCCCAAAATGCCTATCACCCAGGTTTCCCAAGTCTTTTAATTAGAAAGTTTCCTAACCATGAATTTTCTGTTAATATGCAAATAATCCAAGAAGAGGATTTTAGTCACTAAATACCCAGTGATAGGTACTTGTGCTAATCACAGGCAATATTTATCATGAGAGCACTGGGCATTTAAAGGGAGTAAGTGCTCCAGAAGACACAAGAGTTAGGGAGCCACAAGATCAACTCCCCTACTTCATGATTTTGCCCAAGGACAACTCAGTAGAATAAACATGAACCATTCACTTGTCCCATGTAAACATTCACTAGCACTACTTCCTCCAGTCATAAATCATTGAAATATTTACTTCCTGGAACAATATAAAGCCAAATTTCCAAATCCATTGCTGTCAAGTTGGTTCTGATTCATGGTAATCCTATGTGCTACAGAGTAGAACTGCTCCATAGAGTTGTCTTGGCTATAATCTTTATGAGAACAGATTGCCAGGTCTTTCTTAGCACCACTGGATGAGTTTGAATTGTCAACCACTACATTAGCAGCCAATTGCAAAGTGCTTGTGCCACCTAGGGGTCTTGAGACAATATAATAGATTTGAAAAGATACTGGAGTATGTATGAATCACAAGTCTTTCTTCAATCCCTGCTTTGCTCCTTAATCACACATAAGTCAGTCTCTGAGCCTTAATTTCCTTCCCCATAAAGTGGAACTAATATTGCTCATGATGTGAAAGTCAAATTAAGTAAAGGTTGAAAAATGGTGGGTAGACTACAATGTACTACCCAAATGTGTAATCATATTCACTACCTGACCATTATAATTTAGGGTCTTTTCTATGACAGATAAAATGTTTGATTTTTATCCCAAGGAAGGTCTGAAATAAAGTTCTCTAGAATCCCTTGGTATGAAGTCAGATACCTTGGTGATGTTGTGTTAATGTTAGGTGCCATGCAGTCATCTCCGATTCACAGCAACTTTATGTACAACAACACGAAACCCTGCCCGGTCACGCACCATCCTCACCACCCTTGCTATGCTTAAGCCCATAATTGTAGCCATTATGTCAATCCATCTCATTGAGGGCCTGCCCCTTTTCCACTTAGCTTCTACTTTACCAAACATGATAACCTTCTCAAGGGACTGGTCCCTTCTAACAACATGACCAAAGTACGGAGACAAAGTCTGGCCATCCTGACTTCTAAGAAGCATTCTGGCTGCACTTTCTTCAAGACAGATTTGTTTGTTGTTCTGGCTAAAACCAAAATCCCTTGACATCGAGTCAATTCTGACTCATAGCAACCCCTACTGGGTTTGCAAGATGGTAAATCTTTATGAAACAATATTGCTCTGTCTTCTTTCCACAGAGTGGCTGGTGAGTTTGAAACCACCAACCTTCTGGTTAGTAGTCAAATGTCTTAGGCACTGCACCACCAGCACTCCTTGTTCTTCTGGCAGTCCTTGGTATTTTCAGTATTCTTTCCCAATAGGACAACTCAAAGGCTTCAATTCTTCTTTGGTCTTCATTATTCACTGCCCAGCTTTCACATGGACATGAAGTAATTGAAAATACCATGGCTTGGGTGACTTGCACCTTAATCTTCAAAGTGACACCTTTGAGAAGGTTTTTTACAACCAATTTGCCCAGTGCAATGCAACATCTGATTTCTTGACTGCTGCTTCTGTGGGTATTAATTGTGGATCCAAGGAAAATGAAATTCCTGACAGCTTCAATCTTTTCTCCATTTATCATGATGTTGCATATTGCTCCAACTGTGAGGAATTTTTTTTTTTAATTTTTATTGTGATTTGGGTGAAAGTTTACAGAGCAAATTAATTTTCCATACAGCAGTTCATACACATGTTGTTTCATGACATTGACTGTAATGTCCCACAATGTAACGGCTTTCTTCCCATTTCCTCCCCACAGTTACCTCTTCCCTGTGTCCTCCATTCCCATGCACTCCCACTCCACAAGCTGTCTCCCTGTGCAAACACTGCCCTTCTGTTCTCCCATGATTGATCTCTCCAAGGAGTGTATCCACCTGGTGTAAATGTTCACCCCCTATGCCTGTCTATTGTTTGGCTGGAAGCTACAGGAGTGAGTTCAGTTCCAGACCTGAAGGATGGCTAAACGCCAAAGTCTCAGGGGTCTCACCAGGCTCTATCAGACCAGCAAACCTGATCCCTTTTTTAGGATTTTGAGTTTTGTTCCACATTGTTCTCCCACTCTCTCCAGGATCTCCTGCACCGATCTGCACCCCTCCTCACCCCACCCCCCAAGTGGTTGACAGTGGTAGCCGAGCACAATCTGGTTCTCCTGGTGTCATGGTCATATAAACTGAGGATCACACAGTCCTTGGACTAGGTGTTTCCATGTGTCTTTGCTTTTCTTCATTCTTCTTTGCTCTAGACGAGGAGAGACACATCATTGTACCTTGATGGCTGCTTGCAAGCTTTTAAGATCCCAGTCACTACTCAGTTGAGGATTTTTGTTTTCTTTATGTTAAGGTGTAATCCATACTGAAGTATAGTCTTGGATCTTCATCAGTAAGTGCTTCAAGTCCTTTTCACTTACAGCAAGCAAAGTGGTGTCATCTGCTTCTCACCGGTTGTTAATGAGTGTTCCTCCAACCTGATGCTATGTTCTCCTTCATATAATCCAGCTTTTCAGATTACTTGCTCACCATACAGATTGAATAATTATGGTGAAAGAATACAACCCTGATGCACTCCCTTCCTGATATTAAGCCAAGCAGTATCCCCTTGTTCTGTTTGAATGACTATCTCTTAGTCTATGTACAGCTTCCTCATGAGCACAATTAAGTGTTCTGGAATTTCCATTCTTCACAGTGTTACCTGTAATTTGCTATGACCTACACAGTCAAATGCCTTTGCATAGTCTAGAATACACAGGTAAGCATCTTGGTGGTTGCTTCAAATGTCACTTTGTCATATTTTAGGGGTTCCCTAAACTAGTGGTTCTTAAGCTGGTCTCCAAGGTTCAAGGAATTCTCAAAGGAGTGACAGAAGGTAGAGGTAGAGGTAGAGCGGAGGGTAGAGCTTTGGATCCTCCCCTTCCATTGCAACATGAACACCTCCACTTTTAGCTGCAATAAATGGTGACTCATTTCTACGAGCCTACAATGTTAGTCAAGCTTGGGAAATCACTGGAAAATTGTAATTGGAGCAACTGGGTCTCACAATGAGACTTTTTTTAAGATGAAGATCAAAACTGTTCTTATCATTTGTTTAAGATGAGTTGTTTTTTTGTTTTTTTCTTTGTTATCTGAAATGAATTGTGGTTCTCAAGATATCTTCCATTCTCTTTTTATTCCTAGCAACTTCCTTGGGCTGACAAGCCAGAGTTTGATTTCTAGATATAAGATTATTTCCCATGTGACCTTCCTTTCATGACCTCTCTTTTCCCAGATAAGTGAGGTCCAATAAAGTAACTATTGGGAAATGGACTAGCCAGGACATAGATAAGCACCTCTGATCAGTGACAACAGAAAAAGACTTACACTGTCACCCAGTAGATAAAATGACAATTAACATTCATTTTCCCATTTTTGACTTTTCATGCCCTGAATAGAAACTCTTGCAAATAAAAATCATTAAATGCCATTCAGTAAATTTGTAGCTTTATATATAAAGCCTTTATAAGATTGCCAGGAAGTATATATGATGCTATGTGATAAGTAAAGAGATAGCCTATTATAATCTCTAAAGACTAAGCAAAAATCTTGATGGCTTTAAATTAGACTTATGTTGATTAAAACTTCAAATAATCTTATTGGTAATTAAAGCTCCTATATGTACACTGAAGACTGATGGTAGAGGGCATACATGACCGAGATGGGGATGTATGAGTATGTATAATTGTCAGAATAATTTGAACATCCCATGGGGCTAAGGAGATTAAGTGGAGGGTTTCATTGTCTCAGAGGGGCAAGGGGCAAATCCATTGCTAATATTTTAATTAAAAAATAATTGTAAGAAGTTGTTAAACCCCTTTCAAAAATTAAAGTATAGATAGATAGATGTTGTTGTTGTTGTTGTTGTTAGGTGCCGTTGAGTCATTTCTGACTCATAGCAATCCCATGCACAGCAGAACAAAACGCTGCCCAATCCCGTGCCAGCTCCATGATCCCTGCTATACTTGAGCCCATCATCACAGCCACTGTGACAATCCATCTCGTTGAAGGCCTTCCCCTTTTTCATCGACCCTCCACCCTACCAAGCATGACATCCTTCTCCAGGGAATGGTCCCTTCTGAAAACATGATCAAAATAGGTGAGACGCAGTCTCACTTCCAAGGCCATTCTCACTTCCAAGGAGTATTTCAGGTCCACTTCCTCCAGGACAGATCTGCCCATGGTACTTTCAGCATTCTTCGCCAGCACCACAACTCAAAAGCTTCAACTCTTCTTCGGTCTTCCTTATTCATTGTCCAGCTCTCACATGCATATAAG